AGGATTGAAGTAGACGCAAAATTAGGAGATGGTGCAGTGGACCTTGTACTAAAATCGAAAAAAAGTTAAAAAATTTTTTAATATTCTTTCGATTTTAGTATAAAATCCACTGCACCATCTCCTAATTTTGCGTCTACTTCAATCCTGTAAAAGAATTTTTTGTTCCGTTCAGTCAATTCAAAGATTTTTATACAACTGTAACGTGATAATTTGATCACTCGAGCATCCCCTTAACTCTCTCGACGACACATCCGTCGGTACATCTACCATCCCCTAGGCACCAAGTGTATCTCCTTCTGTCTCTCTTGAACAAACCCATAGAACCGTTCATAGGATCGTCGCGGGACGACCGGGAGGTCGGTGAACGCGTTTCGAGGATTGCGAGACGGTAAGAAAGAAAGCACATAGATTCTCCTGGTAACAGCAGTCGGCGTGCTGCTTCCCCGGCTTATTTTCGCTGGACGCGAACGTCGAAGACAACAAAAGTACCTCGACGGAGCAGATGCATGGCATGTGCTACGAACCGACACCAGATGCCCCATTGGCGTAGAGAGATCCCTCCTCGACGGACGACCCCGATAAAGGTGCACGGCGCCCGATTCCTTTCAAGCTAGTCGCGTGCCAGATCCACAACCGTTTCTTCGTTCGCGTATGTTCCCTTCCATGGGTCCCATCACATATCATATCGGGGGCCGTTGGTACGTTGGGAACGTCCGATGGGCGATCAAACAGCTTTTTTTTCACTTTCTCCTAGTCAAGTCTAATGTTTTTTAATACATACATGATTAACATTTTCAAATATATTTCAATTAAACGTATATGTTATGTATGCATATGTATATACATGTGTATGTTGTATATATATATATATATATATATACCTAGGTACTGGTTGCGACGAATTGAAAACAAAATTTCCCTGACAAGTCAACAATTGAGAAAAATAGTCGAATATATTGATGTATTAGCTCGATAAATATCTTATTAAAAACTTTTCATTTTATTATAAAAAAAAGTGTTACATCATTTGTATCATCATGTAAACGCGACATACACACAACGTTCAGTAACAATATTTTAGATAAAATTTCGATTTTACGAGTTGTGCCCCTGATTTGATTAATTGAAATTTAATTGAAACGTAATTAAAAATCAGATTTCCAGCAAATGCCTAAAGATACAGTGTTTACGACGCATTGAACGCTTCAGCCAAGTTTAAGTTTAAGGACTGGGAAAGACGAGAACGAGACGACGGGCTTAATTAATTTAGCGGTCGTTTATTTACTGGTCAATGTTATCTACAGAGCTTTATTGTAAAAGTAACAATAGTCGTGTATAAGTTAAAACGATATCATACATATGTACAGCTTACTATTCGGTCGCGTGGGAAGAACGTCGATTACTTCCCATTAAAAAAATCGTACGGAAAAAAAGAACTCTCAAAAATTTCTCCGCATTTCACTTCGCAGTCGTATCTCGATCCTTTGCGGGCGATCGATCACGATGTAAAGTCTCTTCGACAAGTGACACACGATCGAGGTTGATCGTCGATCCTGAATCACTGGCGATGATCAGTTTCATGTATATCATGTTTTATTTTACTTTTGCTCGTTTCATTAATGCAAGATCAATTCAACGTTGACGCTGCAATCGATGCACGATCCCGATCAATTTCTCGTACACGAGGAATGATGATCGTGCTATCTAAGTAACGAGCAAGATGTGGAAATTTCTGAGGTCTCACGGTGAGCTTTTTTAGATGGTTGAGACGTGTTAAGGCGGCCGACGTGCATAATTTCGCACTTATTGTTGTTTAAACGCAAACATTTATTTAAACGGAACTATCATTTTATTACTAGTATTATTATAAGAAGACACACATTTCAGGTCATCCGAATTGGACTCCTCGTAAGACCTCGTTATTTCCATACTGTAATTTCTTTTACAAATAAAGATTCGCTGACGACCGAATAAATTCCTATCTAAATCTCTGAGCTCTCGTCGTCTCTCGCCTATAATCCGAATTATATACAATATCTTCGGGGCTAAAACACGTTTTCCTTTCCTATTGTCGACATTGTAGCCAATTTTTTCGTATACGGTCCGATTAAAAATCGCTTCACGTATAATCGCCGACAAAATGCAACCATTCCAAAAATCGATACTTTTAAGTCACTTAAGAGAAAAATCATTTCTTGATTTAATTTATAAATAATTGTTGTCATTTTCTTTTTATTACTTTCATAAACGTAATTTCGAGCGTATTAAAAAATCTCATCTGATAACAATCGAAAAAATTCTGCAATATTCTGTCGGCGACCAATAATACTTATCTCACTTTTCTTTTTTTCTATTATCCCGTTTATCGTAATTTAATTCTTTCGATCATCTTTTTAGTTACGACAGGCTAACCTAGGAATTTGTTTTAAGAATAATTCTAGTTGTGATTCGCCGGACGTTTCTCTACAGTTCGATGATTCTAAAATTGCTAGAAGTAGTTTCTTTTAATGATTCATGGTTCTTGATTAAGACGTTCACGTTGATGAATTTCAAAGTTTTGAACATCTCGTTACGAAAAAGAAACGGCGTTCATATCGATCCAGCGTATGAACGCTTTATTCAATAATATTATAATAGTCGAAAGATCCCGAAAAACCAACTCGCAACGTCTGCGAGCAAAAAATTAACGCTCCAGTCAGAATGTATGTCTAACAATCAACGCAACGTTTCAACAAATGAATATATCCAATTAATTGTCTCTCAGCAATGTAAGAAAGTAGCAAAATCAAGAAAAGCAGATAGTAGTCGAATTATTTATGGTACAAAATGAATCTTTATGGACTCAAGAAAAGTATAATTTTTCTTCAAAAGAAGAAAAATGTAAATAAGCGAAGAGTCTTGCGCAAACGATTTCACAACATGCCATGTTCTTACGCTCGCTTTATTTAAATAACAAGATTAATTTATCTCAGATTTCTCTCTCTCGAAAGTTCTTCAACGAGATACGTCGCAAGAAATAAATTTAATCGCTCTCTACCTTAATTCTAGAGCCTCATCAATCCAGGAGCAGACTCATGTCTTGCGACTTGTCCGTATACCCGGTGTATTGAATGAACGCCCTCTCCCTCTGCAGATCTAGATGATTTTTCATGGCAATAACCGTAGGATGATGAAGCGGTAGACCCTCGTCCTCGACGAGATATCGGAGTGCCTCGGTGGCGCAAGCGTCCCATCCTGCCGTCCAGGAATCGGGATTCTGCTCCTGCTGGTTGCTGAAGGACTTTCCAGCAGCCTGCGTGGATCCTGAATCGTCCGTCCACAGGCGATGATCTAAACTCGAAGAATCAAGGGTTCGACCGTGTGGTTCCTGACGGAAGTTTCCAAAATTTGTAAACTTTGTGAAATTTGCGTTTTGCTCGTCGAGATCGTCAAAAAAATCAAGATCATCGTGACCGAAATTGTTTTGACGAACAGACGTTTTTGGATGATCCACTTGATCCTGAAGGCAACCGCGGCCAAGGTAACTCGTATCCTGCAACATCTCCACGCTGTGCATCGTATTTTGATCCTGATACGCCGCTCTGCTACTCGATGACTGTTTCTGGGAATATTTGAGTTCCTGGGCTAAAGAGGCTGCGAGTTGATGCAATAATTTGGTATTATCCGTTTCCTCGTCGTCTTCCTCGAGCTCGTCGATGTCTACTTCAACACCCTCATCCTCCTCCGACGACAGAAGGTCCTCATCGTCTTCGTCCATGCCTAACAAGGTCAGTAACCGTTCGGCGGCATCTACGCAGGTTGCAAACGGCCTAGATTATCTGTTAATGCGAGAAGATTGACTCGAAGAATTTTTAACAAAGAAAAGGACCGATTTTGTAATGGTATCCTTCGATGAAATTAATAGCAAAATTAATTCTAGGATGATGCATATGAAATAAAATCAAAATTTAAAATTAGTAACAGGCCAATTGTATATCAATAAACAATAAAATTTATATTACCTTTTAGATTTTATTTTACTTTTATAATATGTAACTTCGAAAGTTTTGTAAATTCCAATTGTTGAATCAAAATGTACAGTTTTAAATTTATAATGTTAAATTGTGTGTGTGTAACCAATTTGAGTTATTTTTAATCGTTTCTGTAAGTCGCTACTCCTAGTCGTTTAACCAAAACAATAAAATCAAACAATTTAACTCAAGAAATGTATTAAAACTTACTTAAATTTAGTTTATTATTACTAAGTGCATAATATGGATGTTACTGAAATTAAGCCAGAGAAATTCAACCATAGAAAGAGATTGATTTACATTGTGACATACTTGGGTGTAAAAAAATTAATTACACAAAAAGTTAAAAATATAAGATGTACATTATTAAATTCATAACGTTAAATTATATTCAATTTGAGTCATTTTTAATCATTTCTATAGGTCACCACTCCTTGTATGTCGTTAATTAAAATAATGGAGTTGAACAATTTAACTTAAGAAACTGTATTTTAAACTTAACTCAAATTTACTTTATTATTTACTAAGTGCATACGTTTAATATGGACGTTGTTTACTTTGAAACTAACCATAGAAATGTGAATTGACTAATGTTTTGACATGAAAGTTAAAAATAACAAAATGTTATTTTTAACTTAAGAGATTGGATTACCATTGCTCTTTTGGTATTTAACAAAATGTATATCAAAAATATTTCGCAGTCGAATAAAGAAGTTGATTCTGCGAATGGTAATCCACTGTGAATCTCGTTAAGTCGCCAGACGCCCGTTGAGATTCTCCCGAAAAAGACAAGACGTCTCACAATCAGACGTGCGTTGCATGCGATAAAGACGCGGCGGACTCTTGAATCGACGACAATGACCGGGAGAGTGCATTATTGTAACAACCGGACCGCGATTCGATGAGTAGCCCGCCGCAATGAGGCCGACGGCCCGGTTTTGCGGTCCTGTGGGAATCCTGCCCCATAAACGTCCCACGGGAACTACCTGTCGCCCGAAACCCACACCCTGTCGCATCCGCTCTGCGAATCGCCGCATTTCGCACGAGTCCTCTCCGCTTTCTCATCTCCCTCGTCCGTGTGTGGTGGTGTCATAACGTGATTCGTTGCATCGGTACCGTACGTGTGTGCTACTCGCCGTTCACACACCACCGCGAGAGCGGAAAGGTCGTTTCTCCGGCGAGGGTAACTTTGAGATACCTGTTCCTGGGAACGGGAGCGATTTTGATCGAAAAGTGGCAATCGATTAAGTACGTTCAGCCGCGGGGTTCAAATAGAAGACCTTAATGGATTAATGTTATTAAGTTTACAATTATCAAAATTATTTAGTAAATGACAACACAGATGAAGAAATATATTTAAAGAAAATTAGATCAATTTTAAAATATATGTATAAAAAATACAATATGACTTATATGACTAATGTAATAAATACATGTACCGAATTACAAATTTAAATAATAAAAAGACATTATTTAAAACTTAAAAAGCGATTATACAAAAATTTTATATAAAAAAAAATAATAGTCGAATATATCAACACAAATAAAACACATTAATTATTTTATTTAGTAGTAATTCAAATTAACGAAAAAATAGAAAAAAATCGAAAAAAAGTATTTAGACGAATTATCTAATGTCTTCATTATTCCTATATTCTTTTCTCGACGTCACGAGGGTAGTTGATCAACAATTTTTTCAAACTGACAAGCGTATATTACGACCGTCATACTTGTTCTTTTCTTTTTCTTGACGATAATAGAAAAGTCTGGACCAGTCGCGAGAGCGAGTTCGTTGATTCTTCTTTTTTTTCGGACAAACATTTCTCTCTCTCTCCTTCTTCAAGAGGCATCAATGCGACTCTCTGTGCCGGACGTTCCCACAGGGATACCCACATTTAAATGTCCTGTTCCTATAGTCTACGGGACATGGTAAGGTTTAGTTTAGGTTGGGTTAGGTTAAGCGATTTAAAGGGACTGAAAGGTACTTAACGAATAAACCGTTTGTTTCTACCCCTATATAAAGTCTAGACCGAAATATAGATAGAAAGTAGTAATAATTATCGTAAACGCTATGATATTTTGTCTCAAGAATGTGCACCGATTATTGTAATAACTTATCAAAATTTTTGTATTCTAATCTATAATTTATAAAATGTATAAAATGTACTCTGTTAACTGTAAAACGTTTATTATTATATATCTGATGTTTAAAATTACCTTTAAATAACTAAAAAATTATTTATGTGTTTTACGCATGAAGAAACAATGCGATTTATGATAACACGGCTGTAAAATTATTATTCTCGATCGTCAAATGATGTGGCGTATTGTGACTTAAATTATACGCAGATCGACTTTTATCGCAGTTAATCAATCGACGTCATCACGGCGGCAGTAAATTTGTTTACGTGCATTTTGAAGTTACATTATAATCTATATCGTTTAGTAATATCGTCTGAAATTGCTCTGACGAAGGAGGGCCATAATTCTTGTTGGGGAATAGAAATTCTTGTAGCTGTACGTACACAGAAAGCCGACATTAGCATAGAGAATTCATATTTCAGAAGAAGATCGGCCGAGCTGCAGTATAAGCGGCAATGCAAAGCTATTCTCCTAGCGAGCAGTACCCGACTTATATTCCGTGATTAATGACGTCGACCTAATAAATTTTAATGGCTCACTCGCGCGTACCGCTTTACGAATAAATACGGGTACAAAGTTTCGCAGTGTTATGCTATTACAGAAGGTATCTACGTCATTTGCACCTTATTAAAAGTTTTAATCGAGGCGACTTGAATATTGCGCTCCTATTCTGACGAATCATTTTATCGTCTTGAAAATCTCTCAATTTAGTAAACTAATTAGACTGTTATACGAATAAGCTGTTATATAAATAAAGAAACAAACTTTTGTTTACACAAAGATATAACATGAAAAATATAAGCTGTTAAAGTTTTTTTTCTAAAGAAGGAAACGATTGTTATAGAATTTACTCTTTTCTTCTAAAAATTGCTAATAAGACGTTAATATTTATTATTTATATATTATTATAACAATTAATTTAATGTTAAACAAAATTTTAAAAAATAATCCGAATAAAAAAAATTACAAGCCTATTTATAGAGAGAGATTTATTATAATAATTTTGTTCACGGAACATTTTTATTACGACAAATTGCAAAGAAACAAAAATTACTGTGGCTATGTTCTTGCTAAAAAAAAAGTCGTTAAAAGAAGATGGTAAGGTCCAACGTTATTACAGGAAATACTAGCGACGTTTTTCACTGGAATGTAAGGATTTTCTAGAGAGGGAGAAACTTTCTTTCTACAGCAAATACACCCTTATATACGACGTCGTAAAATATTTCTACTTCAAGTTTTAAAGGAAGACCAAATTTATCGTGTTCACGGGTCAACTTGAATTTGTTCCGTATTTCGGAAAACAATTTCACAAAAAGAGGAGGCAAAGACACATAAAAATAATGAAAGTATACATGTTTTATCATAGTTTTATCGTAATTGAATAATAATGTAATTTTTTAAAAAATCACATTAAAAGATTAACATACTGAGTAAACATAATCGATGTTATCACGTTTTCAATTTGCATATTACAACTTCCTGTCGATTATAAGATCTATTGTATTATACACTGTTATTTGCATGCAAGCCTCAACCGAGAAATAAAAATACCTCTTTAAATACTCTTTTAAATTCTCTTAAAATTTTAAAAGTAATTTAGATTCTTAATGAATTTTTACAGTTATGCAATTATCTAATTGTAAGTACGGATATTTTTAACGCATAAATAATATTTAGATCTATGAAAGATGTACAATAAATAAATTACCTTGTATTGTACGTGAATTATCCGTGATATTAGTGGATAAATTGACGAAGTCTTCCAATCCTCCGCTATCTTCTCCGCTATCTCCTCCACAATCCATCATCGTGTCCTACACAAAGAATATAATACAAAGAAAAAGAAAATCTATTATCTATAAATTATATAATAAACGTCAAGCTTAAAGCTAAGTAAAGTAAAAATTAAATGAATAAAATGTATCTTAATTTGCATGAGCGAGCTAATGTGTAACAAATTAAGCATATATGCTCATTTTAAATAGTACGAAAAAATGTTATGACGGTAAAAATAAATAATTAAAATAAAAATATGTCAGGATATAATAATTAATCGTACAGACGCAAAATTTTATTTAAAAACTTTCAAAGGTCCTTCAAATTCGACGCAACTGTTAATTTAAAACAAGAATTTAATATATGTTGTGAATAACTGCAATTATTCGGATCAGGATTATTGATGCCATTATTTATATAACTTTTGTGCAGTGTTGCATTGACATTAATGATACTCGGAGTAGTCTCCAAACCGTCAATTTGCCACTAAATTTTGTAATTCACAAGGAATAAGCGCTGTTAGCGGCAATTTCTTCGATCGAGAAAAGCTTTCCCCGAAATAATTACTATCCACACGATAATACGATAGTGACGATTTCTCTCGTCGATGACAAGCTCTTTGATGTCAGAATTATAAGTTATAAGTTGTAGATTTACAAAAAAGAACTTACAATACAAAGTACCTTTTCTTTATATATATTTTCCAATATATTTTAGAAATAAAATTTAAAAAGTAAATATTTTATATTCAGAGAGAGAGAGAGATATATGTACATGTATTTAATCACATTATTTCTTAATTATAAATTATAATTATAATTAAAACAGTATAAAACAGTATATTTATATATCATTAATATTATATGCTATCTTTTTCCTTTTCTTTCCCCCTTTTTTTCTATTTTTCTTATACATTTAATATCTCATAAATATTCGGATAAATAATAACCCAAATAGCAAGCTGATATTGATTTTGACATCAAAATAACGACAAATAATATTGACTTGCTGCCTGGAAATGATATAATATTTATAATCTTTATTACATTATATTTTCATGTTAATTGATGCATTTGATCTACAATGATTTACCAACCTACTTCTAACTTCATTACAGCTCTACAAATGATACGTACATTTCCAAGCAATTATTATAAACGGATTAACAGTAGAAAATCGTCAATGCTTCCACTTAATTATACTGGTTTTTAATGCGTTATATCAATAGAACTCTTTCTAATCATCCTTATAATTTTAAATTCATCATATTCTATTTCGGAATTCAGGTGACAACAATATGTGACTGAAGAAAACTTCGTAAAGTCTAAACTAACTTCGCTTAATTTTTTATGTATCTAACACATTAAATATAACATTACATACATTCTTTATTAGCTCGTCTTTGGCCGTTTTTCTCGATAGAATTTATACTGTATTTTTAATAAAGAGTAAGTCATTATTATTTAGACTTTCACCTATGTTTTGCACGGCAAGTACACATGAGAAAAATTTATAGTCCAATAATAACAATATTCAATCTTTTCTTAAAGATTTTGCTACCGGCTAGCCAAAAAATTAAATTTACGAGCGAATTTGTTTCTTTGTAAAATTTTGAAAATTTATAATTTTCAGACCGCAACTCAAAGAGCTATTAGTCAGTTCCAATTGGCAAGTAAACTATATTTTACAAGACGACACAATTACTGGCAATAAATAAAAGAAGAATAGTAATTGTATTGCATTCCATTGTATTTTACAGTGAAAAGGTCTGTATTATTCATTTGCCTTTTCGAAATATAAGTTTAAAATACAATTTAAAAGATACTGGAATTATATTTAGAAGGACTCATAAATAGGAAGAAAATTTTAGAAAAGTTTTTCTGTGATGGATGAATGGATGGATTGATGGACATAAATCAATCTTGCCACTCGAATACACCAATACGAATTCCCTTAGATCGGTGAAAGTGAGAACACGGAGAAAGTTCGCGAATGGGTTAAAATGATCATGTCGCCGGTTATGACGAGAACTTAAGAGTGGCAATTGAATTGAAAAAGAATGAAAGAAACATAAACGGTGATCACCAGTAAACATACGGATCAAATAACTGCCGACATAATGACGATTGATTGCGATTTTCACTTAAGTAGACCTTTAATAGTCACGCAAGCTATAATAAGCTATGATAAGCTATGATAAACTATGAAGTAAAATATAATAAAGTATAATATTGTGTAACAAAGTAATTGTATAAAATAAATATAATTAATATTGTATAACAAAGTAATTGTATAAAATAAATATAATTAATATTTTTTATTTATATAGAGAAGCTATTAGGACCTGTGAAGTTAGCCCCCCAACTTTACAAAACATTAACTTTCTATAACTCATTCGATTGCTCATGTTTGCACATGTACGCACATTTCAAATCCTTCTCTAAATTTTGATTATTAATAACTTTTTATAAACTAAAGATATGCAGAATTAACTGGATATTTTAACAGGACGAAAAATCGTCCTGTTCCGAAATGTGCAAACGAAAATCTATCGATTGAGATTATTTCGATTTAATTTGCTCCTAATAGTTGGGAGGGTTAATGTAAAGTTGAGCACCTAAAATTGTTTTTTGAATAACTTTTTTATTGGAAGTGTGCAAACCAAAATTCGAAATGTGCATACGTAGACGTCATTGATGCCTTCCGGCTTGAAACTTATAATTTTCTCCGATCGTTCCATTACATGTAACGGAAGCAAATTTCTTTTTTTTTAACAGTGTATAGATATGTGTACGATCGGAGGAAACTATAAATTTCAATCCGGAAGTCATCAATGATGCCTATTGTACATGTGCAAACAATGAACAATCGAATGAGCTATAGAAAAATTTTTTATAAAGTTGGGGGTTATCTTCACACAGGTGCTATTAAGATCTATAAAGAATGGTGTTGCAGATTTGCAGACATTTGCGATTTTAACGATAAAATTATAGCAATGTTGTTCATGCATAAATTATCAATTCGTATAAATTAATGTGTATTACATAAATTTTCACTTTTACTTATTCTAACAGCGATTACGGTCAGAAACGATACTAAAAATATTAAGAAATGCGAGGTCACTTCCGATTTCGTTTTGCTTATCGCGTGCTAATTATCGCCATTACAGAAAACAGCTTCAATAAGTTGTGACCATAACCGGAATCGACTTATTCACAGTCTTTCGCAACTAATTGCCTTGTTATGGAAATGTATTGAATTAAAACGAGCTTAATACGTTCGATTGCGAGACTAATCTTCACCATAATATTCGTTTTCACCAAATTAAGAGCAAGTCCGATGTAGATCGACTGTATGTAAACGAGAGATTATTGTAAATTTCCTCCTTTAATGCTTTCTATGGATTATCGAGAAAATAACGGATCCGAAGAAGATTAAAATGCGGCAAACACGAAAGCTGTAAATAATATCTTGTCGTTGATATCTTTTCTACTTAAACTTTTACGAATAAGTCGATGCAATGAAACTCGCATGAATATTTATGTTCGACTCCTCGCATTCGTATTATTGCGCATAATCGAGGCAACCGAGATACAAAGTACGCCCTAATCGATGCACGAAGGAGTGAAAATAGATTTTAAAATCATCTTCTTTACAAAAAAAAAGTTTTCGCCTCATAAATGTGAATGGACCGTTTCAAGTACCAGGTACAGTTCTGATGCAAGTTGCTAGATACCGAGCTGAATTGTATTCAGTCAATACTTATATGTAAATCTTGCATGACTCAAAATTGATATTTTTGACTGAATTAGTTATGGAGCTGTCGTCATCACAAAGAGAAACGAGAGTAAGTATGTTTAAACAATTGATACACGCAAATGAGAGCACGCGACGAAAGCCTTTCGTAATAGCCACATAATATTTGGGCCATCGATCGCAAGTAAAACGCGAGTTTACTTTAATTAACGAATTGTAGACACGTCCGACTATCAGTAAAATAATTAATTATAATTATCTATTGGATATTTCAGCAAAAACGCACAGTTGCAAAATTGAACAAAGATACACAAGTTTAAGCTTAACATTGATTTAGCACTTAAAGTAAAACTATACAATAATATCCCCCAATCTATAAATTATTTAACTTCACAATTTTTTATCACCTACACGTATTTTTCAGCCTTTATTATACTAAAATCTTACAATATTTATTTGCTTTATATTCTTTTAATTTCTTTTAATTTTTAAATAATAAAGATAATACATAGAAAAAGGATTATCGCACTAATTATATGAAAAATTAGATCCCTGTGAAATAAATTAATTTTTTTTATATACATATAATACAGTAAATAAAAAATATCGTAGATACAAGGTTCAATAATGGATAGTTTTTGAATTCTAATACATCAAAAGTTCTTTGTAAACACAAATTTCAGATCTTTAATGCACCATACCTCAAAAACTTATTCATTATTGAATTTTATTTAAATAATGAAAAATAAATCTTTTATTTTCCACATTATAAGCTATATTTAATGTGAAAACTAACTCATTTCACCGAAACCCAATTTTCTATATAATTATATATAGTGCGGGGTTTTTTATTTTTACATTTTTAATATTTGTCCAAAAATATCAAAAAAAACGAACCATCATGGAAAAATGTAAATCACAACTCAGATGATCGATCCATATCATGTCAGATATACTCATTTTTCATTCGGGTAAAATATTAAGTGGAAATACAATTCGATTAGATAAACTGATAAATGTGAATTGATTTCTTGTCCTTCCATGTTAAAGAAATTTTTATCTCGTTCAAGTTGTTCTCGTTCAAGTTGTTCTCGTTTAAGTTATCCAAAATAGCATGCAAATTTTGAAATAAATAACGATAACTCTCAATGTATCTTTCTTTTGCAAGGTGCACCGAAGCAACTTTGTCTCGCGCAGATTACCAACTCATCTAATTAATTTGCATCGAAACATAGTATGCGACACGCGACAGAAATAAAAGATCGTAAACGAAGTTTACATGTTAGTGCAGATAAGGTAAGTGATCGGGAATGTGTGACTATCGCCTGTAAAAAACCGTAACAAGTTGCACATCAAGTTACTAAAATATCCTTCAAGGATATCAAGATACGATAACAACTATAGTTATATATGTGAAAATTAAAGCTTCAGAAAAAAAAACGGGATTAACTGAACTTCATTAAATCCTCGATGATTTCGATCGAAGGTAGAAAGCGATTAATAATAATTAAAGAATCCTGGAAATCAAAGTAATTTTAAAAAGGGCATTCAATCTTTCGAAGTTTTTTCGATTCCATTCAAAGTCATATACTCGCAAAAGACGACCAGAAATTCTCTACAGTCTCGTCTTTATCAAGACTTTCACGTATAAATAGAACGCAGGCAGAATGCATGAAGGTGTAAGTATAGCACATAGCAAAAGGACACGTTTGACTACTTCGATGCAGTCGTCTCTTTAATAGTTGCCAGGCAGATAGATGTAAGAACGTAAAACACTACAGATAATACCGCCAATATTCCAAATTCGAGAAACGCCGCGAATCAAAAATGAGTCTTAAGAGAATATTAAAATTATGAGGTTTATAAGGGCGGTCTTAGAGAATTTTTTGCGGAAAATTTAATATAGCATCGTATATTTCGAAATTTAAACAACGTAAACGAATCGCTTATTTTACAGAGAACACAAGTCGGATGAAAGCAAGTTGAATTAATCCTTGAATATTATGATGGATACATTATAGTTAAAATGCAAATAATTTTAAAAATTAATTATACCATAAGTATAATATTGCACACATAATACTAATTGCGATTTTGTTTGCCAAGAGTGAAAAAATATTCTCGTAAAGCTGATACAATTGACAACTTCCTTATTTCCTTTCTAATTTCTAATAATTTAAGACAAAACAGTTTAGGATATTGATCTTATTACTAGTAAAATATATATAAAATATATATAAAAGTCTTCTTTTTGTGTGAAAACAAATCTAATTTAATTTTCCATTCTCGAAGATTGAAAAAAACTCTAAATTAAGTTAAACGAGATTCAATGAGAAATGTTGCGAACAAGAAGAAACATGAAAAAAGTTTGAAAGATAATCGAAGTTCTAGAGAATCATTGGAACGAATTCAAGATTTCTTTCCTTTGTGCAATATACAAATGTTGAAACTACGAAGAAACGGGACGAAGCACCAGGAGTGACTGCTACATTTTATGCAAGATCGCACTTCTCGCGGAGAATTTTTCTTTCTTTCAAAGTTTCGAAGAAGCACAGACATCGAGAATGCAGTTAACTGCAGAAAAGGGCGCATCCTTCGCGCAATAGGATTCAATTTGAAATTCTAATTCGCCCCAGAGTCGTCTCGATAGAATTTTAAGCGAGAAAACTCGCAGCGAGATGACTCGCGAGAAGATTGGAATCGAGAGATAAATAAGTAAGTAGATGCCAACCAAGAGGGAAGAGCTTAGAATCTAAAGCGGATCTAAGATTCGTAAACAGTAAATTACATTACATACATCTGATTGTATCGGGGTAATAGACGTGATAATAAAAGGCGAGTGTAAAAACGAAAGGCAAAAAAAAAACATCGCAGTAAAGATAGCGATTTTCGTATACAGGAATTGTTGTATCTAATTCCATAATCTCGGATGAAAAACAGGTAATAACGGATACGCGTGTAAATCGATGCGCCCCTTTTATCGTTAATAACCCCGACGGGGTTGAGAAGCGCCGAGCCAAGTGGGTGGAAAAAGCAGGAAGAAAGGGGTGTCTCTGCAGTCCTCCCCGCGTCGCATAAATCGAATATATCGCGTAGATAGAATCGGAACTATTTACGTCGCGAGCGGACGAGAGAGCTCTTCGCTTTAATGGAGATTTAAATCACCGAATGCGCGCGAAATTCTCGCGTTTGTCGCCGCGCCTCCATATAGAGCTCGAATGTCACTCTAATAGATGGATGGGAAAAGCGACCGAGAGAAAGAACACGATTATTCGAATCCATCGATCCTCGCGTTATATCGCGAGGGAAAAAAAAAGAATTCGTTTCGCAATCGCACCGAAAACGAACGAACGTGCCACGCGATGGAGAACGAATAAAAAACCGATTCGCCCGTTCGCAATCGATTTCGAGCAGGTGCACTTTGGCAGCCGAACGCGTCGCGCTACAGCCACGCGATGCATTCCACGATGCGATCGTAAATATAGATGATTATCGGACGGTGAATTGGAATTTTTCCGAGGATACCGCTCCAACGAGAAATAGCAAAAATATATTACGAATGAACATTAAATTAACGCTCAATGTTTAAATAAAAGCGAGGATATAAGTTTTGAGATAAGTATATCATAAAAATGATATAAAAGCGCTGTAATGTACATTATCGTGTTTGTTCGTTGACACAAACAAAAGTATGTCAATATTAATTAATATCTAATTCGGCGTAATTAGATTAATCAACAGACAGCAAAAATTTTGAGGAAAACTGTCTGTTTACTCATGAAATCCTCGTAACCAACGTATATAGTGTTGCGTTAGCAAATTTTAATACCTTAATCTATTTATTATAGTGTATACAGAAGAGAAAAAACATTCTATGATTTTGAAATAAATCTTAATTTATTTGAACTAATATCCTACACAGAAGATAATAAATTAAGATTTATTTCAAAATCACACAGAATTATTATTCTCATAGAGTGATAAATAGGTCATAATTATACCGACTACGAGAGAAACCTTTACAGAAACTTAATTCTGGTTAATTTATTACTGAAAGGCACGTAATTAATTACTTATTTCGAATATTAAAAACTATGAACAATAATGTTTTTAATACGTAATAAATAATTAATTACTGTCTTTCAGTATTGAGATAGCCAGTATTAGATTTCTGTAAGAGAAAGTGTTTAATATTTATGACACTATAATTGCATGGTAAGGCAATTATGGTTAGAAGACCATTTTATAGTTATTACCGCTATGATGTTGCTAGTATCTAATAATTATATTTGTAGTATTATAAATTCTAAAACAAATATATATAGTTGGCATAAAAAGAAAACTATATTATAGTCATTTTTTATGCCAACTGTATGTTCTTTTAAATATCTATAAATAATAATTCCATATATAAATAATGATTTTATATAATAATTATAATTATTGTTATAAAATTATAATATCAGTAATATCTGGAAATGAAACTCTCAATCATAATTATTTTACCATTCAATTACAATTGCAAATAGCGGACATTTTTCTCTCAATATAATCTATATAGAATTTCTATACAGAATAATAATTCCAAATACCGAACATTTTCTCTCAGCGAAAGATTTATTTCAAAATTACAGAATATCCTGTTGTCTATGTATAGCGACAAATTGAAAATAATTTCTATTCGACAAAGATACCAAGAAGTATTTTTATTCATGACATCTTTTCAAGCTACTGTCATAAATTTTCACGATTGATGCTCATTTCCACGAATGTAGATTAAATTTAATCTCTGTTTATAACTTATACTCTTTATCTTTTTTCTAATTCTTAGAACTAGAAAAAGATAAAGAGTTAGTTGAACCGAGATTAAAGTTAAACTACTCTCTAAATTCTCTAAAGTGGAATCTGACTCTAAAGAGTGAAAATTGAGCCGGTCTTGAAAAAAAGTAGCTCAATTTTCAGTCTTTAAGAGCGAGATTTCACTTTTCAGAGTGAGATTTATTCTAAAAGTTTTAGAGAGTATCATTGAAAGAAACGGACGCAAATCTCCAATATGAAAACTCCAGTAAAATCTACTATTTAAAATTAATTCTCAATCTCACGATTTATTCAAAAATGACAATCGCTTTAACGTTATTTCAGCAAGAATGACCCGACTTCAAATCAATCGTCAGAATCCGTAATGAAAAAAACATCCGGTCGTGTACTTCATGACACTGCCAACAGTCGCAGCCTTTTCTTCGGAGCGATTTAAATGCGCCGCGATATCGCTCAGCCGCGTAGGTTTAAAGCGTTAAAGCGACACGAGAAATTTGTTCTTCGGTGCGAAAACATGGCACGCACGGCATAATTAATCTAAAGATCCTCGCGCGAGAGCGAGGACGGACGGCGGGCCGTCCGATTTATGTATGTATCGGTTTGTTACGTACCTCCGACAGGGCGTCCTCCATCATATCGTTCGTGTCTCTCATGACTCCCGATGGAAACTAGCACCGACAACAATCACTCAACGCCCACGTTTCTCCACCGCTCCTCCGCGGCTCTCCTTTTCGCTCTATCTATCTTCTTACTTTCCTCTCTCACTTCGTTCCTCTTGCTCCGTTTCCGACGCTTTACCGTCGTTATATACCGAATGCGCGCGCTTCTTCTCTCTCTCTCTCGCTCTCCTCCGAGGGTTTCTCCACGGAGAGAACGCAAGTATCCGCGAGAGTATCGACTACGCGAGAACAAGAAGGCACGATGACAAGTGCTCGCGGCCGTTTACTCCAGTAGCAGCAGCAGCAGCAGCAGCACCGAGGAGGAATTCCGTGACGTCACGAGCAACACATTTCCTCCATCGCCAGCGGGCGGGCGGTCTCGCGCGTTCGCCGCCGCTTGGGTTGCGTGCCGCTACTGCACGGCTTTTGACGGATCGATCGTATCGCGACGTGTCGCTCTCCTGGGACCGCTCGCGCCTCTCCCGCCACCTTCCCCACCGGCGTCCTCGTCGTCGCCGTCGTCGTCGTCGTCGTCGTCGTCGCGGGTCGTCTCCCGGAGTACGGGCTGGCCGCGAATTTATATGCGCGCGTTACGCCGTTTTTCACCGACACGGCGCGACGCGCGACGTTAACGCGCACACTTGGCGAATCTCTCGCTCGCCCGTGTCGTGTAAGCGCTCCGGTTTCTAGAGGAGGCTCCCTGGTACCCTGGCGAGCTTCTCGGTACCGCTCACCACGCGCTACTACTCGTGCAAGCTCCGCGACCCATCGGAGTCCGCGACTTCGGAGACACTGGCTAGCTGCCGGCGTGGTTCACGCGCTGGCAGGTAATGCCGAGTACTGCAGGTCGAGACCCTCCTGCCAGGCGGATCTGCCTCCATGACAGTCCCCGGCGCACGCTCGCTCCGTTCCTTCTCTCTGTCTCTCGACCGTCGTCTCAGACGATCCTCTTCCTTACACGCGCTTTCTCCGTCTTACGAATCTTTGAAGCGTACGTCGATTCACTCGCACTTGTACGTTAACCGAACGCTCGAGTGGCGGAAATCGTAGGCTTCCTTTGGATAAGTTTTTTGCAATTTTAACATCTCGCGTCGCGCGATCGCCGAAGGCTCAAGGGAAATCCTTTCATTGAGCCAATTTACTCAAAAGTACAATGTTTGCACTACATTACCGCTCTAAATTTAAGTGAAGAAATTTTATCTAAGAACTACAAAGCGTTCCAAACTTTTAAGCGGTAATGTAACTTATAAAAATAAATCATACGTATTTTTCTAATTAATTAGATATTTCCATATGTTGAAAAGAAAATGTAATAAATTCTATTTAACAACACTGTAAATGTACAAAAATTTATATTGCTATAATTATAAATTTTACTTTAATAGTGTACGTTTAGAAAGAAAAACTGACATTTTTAATAAAATTATATCTGCAAAGAATCGTGTTTTTATCCAAAAGTTATAGAGTACTCCAAACTTTTGAACGATAGTGCAACTTATGAAAATAAATAATCTTACAATACTTTTATATATATTTTTCAAATAAATTATTATATGAAGAAATGATTGTTAAATTACTTAAAAGTTTAGGTACATCAAATCTGAAAATAATTTGATAGTCCAACATAATTATAATATTTTCAGATCTGTATCTAGCTATATTTTTAAATATTTTAACAAAGCTGTTCTTTCCATGTATTGTATAATACGTATATCTATCTTATCCTACTTTTTAAAAATTTTTATATTATCCTATATTTCTCTCGCTTTCGACAGCCATTTGCTATATTCTAACTTTAATATAATAATTTAATTTAATTTAATTAGATTTTAATAGTAAAATCAAATGATACACGACACAAATTTACTTACTTTTAGATTTTTTAAATCTAAGTCATCAGGAATTATCTTATTTTTTCTAATATAAGTTTTAACTAAAGAAAATGATAAAGTCGAAAGTTCGGAAACAGAAAAGCTATGTTATACATGTAGTTATAGGCATAAGAGAGTAATCTTTATACTTCACAAGTAATCTTCATACTTGTTTTCTGTCGGCCGCTCTGCAAGACGGCACTGCCAATCTCGACACTGTCTCTGTTCAGCTTCCATTTGCGCACTTTGTTCATCTCTCCTTTTCTTCTCTATCCTCTTCCTCTCTCGGGATTGCGCGACTTCGCGGCACAGCTGCCTCCCGGTCGCCCTCCGCGCAGACTTCCTTGCCAGACGTCGCACCGCGGCCATCGCTTTCTCGCAGCCTCCTCATTGTCGTCGTGACGCTCGCGAAACATCCGGCAAATCGCACGTAAACCATAACAGAAACACGCCTTCACTATTCATCAAGATTCCCTGAGATTTCTTTTTATCGTAAAAATGCTCGTTTCTAACATAGATTAACTTTAATATCTTAGTTTAATTTACTTAGTTACTTAGTTCTAAGAATTACAAAAAGATAAAGAGCGAATTAAATCGAGATTAAAGTTAATCTACATTCCCAAGGAGAACAATAAAATCAAAATAATGTCAATTTGACGTCATATTGACGAATTTATGTCATTTTTTGGTCATGATAAAAATCTTGATCTCAGGTGATCTAAGAATGACTTTATACTCCGAATGCGGGAATTTCGGATCACCCTGTATACATATGAAGTCATTTATATATAAAATCATTTAAACATATATAAAGTCATTCTTAGGTCGTCTGAGATCGATATTTTTATCATTACCAAAAAATGACATAAATTCGCCAATATGACGTCAAAACATTTTGATTTTCTTGTTCTCTTTGAGTTGGTAGAAACGGATGTAGCAAAAATTCTACTTATGATCAACCAATGAGAGCTTTCTTTCAGAATGATCCTTGCTATTGATTATCGCTAATCAACGATAGTAAAAATCGCCGTTTAAAGATCCAGCTACATCAGAAATCAATTTTTCATGGTTCGCTCCTCAGGAACTACAATGTGACAATCAAGCAGATTCTTCACACTCCACGTGACAGCATCCAAATCACCGAGATTTCTTCATGCGCGACATGTCATTCATCAAGGAAGTCAAATGTTTTCTAAATCCCGAATTTTGCAACGGTGTATGTTCTATATAAACACATATGTTTCTGATTGATTGCTCCACAGGGAATCTGTGCAGCGATCATTGTTTCCGAAAACGCTGTCTGCAATAAATGGACCGCGTTTAATTGAGCCACGGCGATCTCTTCTAACGTTCTATTGTAGATTTCGAATAATCCATCACTATACGCAGAGATTTCGTAATACCAGCGCTAAACAATAGCGACTTGAAATCGATTACATCCTTGGCGATGTCCTCTTTTCAGCAGAGCATATAAATCTCAGCGCATCTCTTATACAACGCCTTAAAATTGTGATTTGTATTATGCAATATAATTAATGTAATTGCTATGAATTTCACGAAATGATTTTTAATTTTCATTATATGGTGACTGATATGATGTATATATAAATAAATATACCGAATATTATAAATATAATAGCGAAATAATATCAAGTTTTCTTTAATCGTCGCAAATCGTCTTTTCTTTCTTTCGTTAAAAACGAGCGTTCCATGCCGGTATTATAAAGCGGTTCGCGCATTCTGGTCGAGGGCAGGAATACGGACGAACAGCTGCTATTTCACCTGTTCGATACATTATTTAAATGCTTCATCTGCCTCGATCTCGAGATACCGCAAGATAAGCGACCGGCGTTTCCTGCTTTCTTACTGTTGTCACGCGATCTTCACAAATCTTTTTTAAGTGTAAATCCATTTCAATTCCGATTCATTGAATCTTTTAATGATTGTACAGATTGTACGGAATTGAGGAAAAGTGCAGGAAAATAATACGATAGCACAAAACGAAATTTTTATATTTTGAAAATATCCCACATAGCACGTAATATCACAGCAATATCATTTTTCCGTTGCAATATTACTATGGAATCTAGCAGAAATATCGTTGAAATATTATTGAAATGTCATAGTAATATTACAATGTCCACAAAAATGAATCACAAGAATATTACTGAGATATATCACAGAAATATCATATGTAATATTTCCGTGATTTTTACGTACAATGTTTTTTATGTAATATTTATTGGGAAAAATTAAAATATTTCAAAGTATTTTTAAAAGAATTTATTGAATTGATATTTTTATAATGTTATTTAAAAAATTATTCCATATGATATTAATTAGAAAATAATACTGATCGCGCGCGCGCGCGTCAATACAAAATGACTATTATACAATATTATAATAAACTGAAAAAGTTATAATAAACTAAATATCACTTATAAAATTATGTGTGTGTACGTATAATTTTGTAATATTTTAATGACGTCTTTAAAACCCGTTTTACAATTGCGTAAGCTGAGTGGTTGTAGTTGTAAGAATTAATCAATCACAGTCAAAAAATGAGAAAAATATTCGATGTAATTTATCAATTCTTACAACTACAACTACTTACAACTACGCTTACGCAATTGTAGAATGGGCTTTACGTCAATAAAACATCATAAAAACGTTATTAATTATAATATCACTCTGTTACTGAAGACGTCATATTGCCATAATATTACTGTGATATTTCAATGTTGAGTATCAACGTGTAATACATCAGTAATATTTCTGTGATGTTATATTGTCAATATTACTATGATATTACGTGTTATTTGGGATATGTACAAATTATTTCATTTTTGTCGACAATTAAGAAGTTTTTTATGTACCGTTATACACACTATATGTTTGATGTTTTATTTTATATCTTTGAACTTGAAATAAACGCAGGAAATAATTTTTACTTAAAGCATTGCGTATAAACATGAATCATGCTTCTGAATCACAGAGTTATCTGCATGCATATTCTGCCTATCAAATGAGTTATATCTTTTGTGTGTGCGTGTATGTGTGTGTGTTATCTGTATATTTTATTTTGATTTATTAATGTTTTACCAGATATTTATACATTTTAGTATATATAATTATTTTTCAATAAATAAAAGAAGGGTTACGAGCCAATTACAATAAAGAATATTTAATATTCGTACAAACGAATTCGTTTCGACGCCGATCGGGTCATTTTCAATGTAAACAAAAATAACATTACATAAATTGTCGGAGTATTCGGTCAGATTACAGTATCCAGTAAAACATATCGGTTATTTCCGTATTCCCTATTATTTGATGTATGTAGTCCATATGTAAAATTAGCATTATTTGACTGATGTAAAAGTGATCTCATCTTATTTTTTTAAAAATCTATAATCTTACAAATAATTCAAAATAATAGACTGACATTGAGTTACAGTTTAAATTAAAAATTGTTAAGTATGTATATTTTATAGTAATTTAGTACCAAGTTTATAGTAATTTACATACATATATATACCTTGATTTGTTGTAATGATGTGAATCAGACGTTGAGAGAAAAACACAAAATTAACTAACAATAAGTCATATATAGTAGGTAAAGACAAGCCATGATACGATATATTGGAGAGAACACATGTATCCTCGACTATGTCAGGCGACGTTATGATAAAAAGGAAACAAAGAAACAAAGAAAAGACGATAATTGGAAGGGGACAGAGGACAATGTTAAGAAGGGGAAAGAGATTGGATAATATTAAGATAAGGGAATACGGAAATAACCGATATGTTTTACTGGATACTGTAATCTGACCGAATACTCCGACAATTTATGTAATGTTATTTATGTTTACATTGAAAATGACCCGATCGGCGTCGAAACGTTTGTACGAATATTAAATATTCTTTATATTGTAATTGACTCGTAGCCCTTCTTTTATTTATCGATTTATTCCGATTGAGCCATATTAATAATTTATAATTATTTTTATTTTATTTATTTTATAATATAAAATTAATACATTTTATTTAAATTCAAAATTATTTTTATAATTAATTATTAAAAATGAAGAAATTTTATTCCGTCTTCCGCTCTAAATTTACAATTCTATTCTATAATGTTGATTCGTCTCTCGATTCCAATTAATATAGGACTCATCTTCGTTACATATTTTACGAAGTGATCTATATCGACTGTTCCAGTTTTATGATTACGACTTTTGTCTTTAAAAATGCGAAAGCCGTCTCCGCCACTCATCAAAAAATTTGATATCACTATTCTGTACCATTGATTGTCCACCAAATCTTCGAATACTGGATATTCACAAGCCTGGCATCTATCGGTACGTCAAGAGAGATTAAAATTAACACATCACACAAAACAATCATTTGATACTTTCATTTTTACGGCGAAAAATTTTGGCAATAAAAGATTTTACCTAATTTTAACATTAACCAGAGATCGCGTTTCATTTACTTTTTTGTAAGTAATTTTTAGTCCGGACCAGACTAGCATTTGTTCCATTTCTAGAATCTACAAAGTAAAATTTATTTCATTATTCAATTCATTATTCGATTTCTATACTCTCGAAGAGAAACCATTGTTACCGCATTTCAGTTCATGTGTCGTCCTGTATGACGCTATTTTATGGTGCTCGATTTTATTTAGTAATTTATTATTGTAAATTAAGATAAAGAATCTAGTTATATTTCAACTGAATCTCTAAAATTTTCATTTTTTAAATAGAGTATTGAAGAATTATAACACGAAATTTTACTGACTTTTCTAATAGATTCTCCAATTAGTTCCATAGTATCCCAAGTATTTTCAAAAGGCAAAACCATCATCAGATCACCGTAGGTAATATCAGACTCCTCAAGGGAACTACGAATTCCTCCTGGATTCGTGCAGGCCACTGCTGCATACGTCCAATGAGTTTTATTTTTTGCATCGTCGACAACCTAAAATTAAAGCAATTTCCAACTTAATTCTTTTTCAATTTTGATTAAATATATAGAATATTGCAAAGAGTGTCCTCCGCACCGCATTCACCATGGCGTCGGTTATAAGATTTCCCATGTTGCATTCTCTGTTGCGACAATTCTGTAGAAGTAACACTCTCGTTGTGCCGATTTTTTTTAAAGCCGTTTCATCCACTACCTTCTTCCATGGCTTTAAAGCTTCCAAGATTTCCGGATCTATATATATAAGATATTTAGACATTGTTTTAAGTATCGTGTCGTTTTTGCTATTTTAATCATTGTGTTGTATTTATTGTCATGAATAATAATAAAAATTTAATTCTTAAAATCGAGACTTACCTTCTTTGATGGATTGATCCAGAAGAAGTGGATTTCCATCCCAATCAACGACCTCACCTTGGTCATCGAACCACACTGTCAGATTACCTAAATATCTTTAAAAAA